AATTTGTACTATATCAAAGATTAAGCTAATAAAAACCAACTGGCATTGTCGCCAAAGTTCAAAAAAAAAAAATAAAATAAAATAAAATAAATATATTATATAACTTATAAATGACCTAGTTAATAAAAAATGATTAAATTTGAAGAGTAATATATTTATAATTATAAGTATTATATTGTAACAAAAGTAAAAAAGTAGTAAAATCAAATTTTATTGCAAGCATAAACTAACTACTTCTTATATAGAACTCAAAACTTTTATTATATATTGTTCTATTACATATATACTCTTACAACTCTTAAACATATTAAATATATTATCTAATATATATCTCTTTAATGTTCTATATTACTTAAAACCTTCAATTATTATATATCTTTTTAATTATTGTTTTATCTTAAAACCTGTATTACTACTATAATTCTTGTATATATTAATAATTTAAATAACTTTTATAACTGATAATCCTAGAAAAACTATATTAAATAGATGATTAACATATTTATTCATTATTACTGTATTACATTAATTACATTCTTGCTTCCAGAATAACATTTTACAACTTACAAAAGTTAAACTCTATAAAATTAAGAATAAACAATTAGAAAGCAAGACATAACTTTAAACCTAAAATGCATGTATATATACAAATAAAATACCTATATAGGTTTGTATAAGCTATATTAAACTGGTTGCATTCCATTCATTATATATTAAGCAAAAATCTCATATTCTTTTTAGTATTGACCAGATTATTACACAAAGTCACAAGGATTGATTATTCAATCAGGTTCAAGATTTTGCACATTGACATCTGAATTATATATAAACCACTAAGATAAAGTAAACTGTTATAATGGCAAGTGCTATTTTTATGCAACTCCAAATCATGTTAAAACAAAATAAGATAAATCAATAAAACTAAAGGCATAAAATAGTAAAAAGGCTGCATAACAAAGTTGATAATAGAGGTGAAATCTTGTGTAAAACAGGTAATAACCTGACAATCAAAAAACCATGATAATAAATAGTAAGGGCTCATGTTCAAATCAATGACTAAATAAAAAAACCTTAACACTTTAAAATACAAGCATGAAATCGATGCAAAAAATTTTTATAACGTACAAATTCAGAAATCACGAGATAAGTCACAAGGATTGATCATCCAGTCATATCCAAGATTTTGTACATCCACATCTGAATTGCCTATAAACCATACACGCTGTACAAACTCCATTCCTGGTATACCCTACGTACTTCGTACAACGTTTCTGGTACTCTACATTGTACGTTATACAAAATCCGTTCCTGGTTGCACATATCGATATATCGTTTCCTTTTTTAACATTGTTCGGGATGCTACACAAAGTCACAAGGATGGACCATCCAATCAGATCCAAGATTTTGTAAACATCGCTAACTTTCAGGTAAACCATACACTACGTTGTAATTTGTACAAACTCCGTTCCTGGTACACTACGTTGTAAGTTGTACAAACTCCGTTCCTGGTACACTACGTTGTACGTTGTACAAACTCCGTTCCTGGTACACACGTTGTACGTTGTACAAACTCCGTTCCTGGTACCTACGTTGTACGTTGTACAAACTCCAAATATGGAAATAACTTCCGATATAGTTACACACTAATATCAACCAATTATATTGCAACTTTTGCAAATCACCTGTACACCGGCCAATCAGATTGCAAAACAAAAGTTGAGGGATTAACAGGGATTAAATGAATATATTATAAAGAACAGCAGAGACTGTTAATGTTACACATATTAAAACTGGGGAGGGATTATATCCATCACAATTGAATCCAACATAAATAATTTAATTTGTGATTGATCACAGGCGAGAGGGATTCACTTTGGATCGGGCACTGTCTCTGCTGTAATTATAAAGTAAAGTAAAAGCATCAATACATCCGTTATATTTACTCACATTTTATCGATAGTAAGCTACCCGGGCTTTTAAAAAAAAGTATTGTAAAACGTATAAAAAAAATTGTTTATCAATTGTGTAACAATCGGGTGACTCAGGTAAACATTTCTATATTTGGGACAGTCTCTTAGAGGTATACATACATATGCTCAAATTAGGGAAAATCCCGCTACACAAAATAGAGAAGTGCAAATTAGGGAAAATCAAGTCGCATAAAGACAGTAAAGCTCCATAGACAATAACTATAATAGTTTGTAAATTAGTGCAATAAACTCACATATATAATAAATATAGAAATAAGTAATCATATAATGTATATAAAAAGAAATATCCAATCCGTTTCTGGTACCCAGCCAATTGGCAGCTCTAATAACAGAAAAATAAATGAATATGCACGCAGGATTGCCGAAAATAATTCAAATTAACATATTTGAATAAAACGGATATGGAAACATCAGCCATTTCTCATACTAGCTATTTAACAGACATAACACAGGTGAGAATTTATTATTAATATATATCTGCAACTAATAAAATGCTAGCCCTAACCCTAACCATATATGATGTCGGCTAAATAGGTGCCGGGCATGACTATTAAAAATAGTCCCTCTGCCCATGCCTGGTACCTGCAGAACCCTAATACCAGATTACCCAAATCCATCAATTAAAATATATTTATATTATAGCTTAATTAGAATTTTGCACCTAACTCTAAATGTCTTTAAAATGAGTTACTATCAACATGATATATTTCTTAATGATTCGAGTGTGGCATGATAAATATTGGATACGATAAACATTTAAATGTTGAATATTTTTGCTATTGCTCAGACCATTTCATAAAAATATGATTCAGAATTTTATTCTTTTATTAATTTTATCAACAGCATTCTTTATGACGAATGCTTTTGAATATATAAGTTGCACTAACAAAATACATGGGGCTGAACTTGAATTAACACTTGACCCTAAACCTCCTGTCGCTGGACAACCCGTCACGCTTACTGTTTCTAGTGATTTTAATCAAGATATTACTGCAGGAACCTATATTTATATTAAATTATTAGAAGGTACTATTGGTAAAGAACCTATTGAAAGATGCGTATATAAACAGAAAATTTGTATTGGAAATGAAGCTTTGTGTCCAATCTCAGTTGGAAAAATAGTTAAAGTAATTACAAATATTGCAATGATGTGTGAAATTGAAATTGATATTAGTAATCTTATAATTTTAGCCTATATTGGCACACCAAGAGAATACGATGGTTATGTGGTTACTATTGGCTGTGCGTGTTATTCAAGAAACCCTACATATTGTACCAATTTATCGCACAATTCATTTTGAAGTTAAATACTGTCATTTTAAATGAATGTAGTAGTACTTAATTCTTTATTTTTAATAAGATAATGAAACTCGCAATGAAGTAATTCTTGAATATACAAAAATATGAAATATGTGAAACTATAATTAGAGTACAAAATATTTGAAAATATCTTCAACTCGATATTCATAATAATGGCCATTTTGAACTCATAATTTATTATGCATTTTATTTTTAAAAATGTTTATATTTCAAGACCTCTTTTACAACTCTAATAATGTAATAATGTGACCCGGTATACCTCATTTCCCTAATTTTAAAACCTCTTGGTAAAATCCAGTTTTAATATATGCTATATAAGAATTTATATTGTAGGAAGAAAAAATTGGTATATGCAAACTTTGCATTTATAATAGTAGTCAAGAAAACTGCATTTTGTTATAATTTTTTAATACAAAGCATATTATTTTATTCGATTTCTTTATTTGTTTATATTATTTATCGTATTTACTAGTTAGAAGTTTTTAATACTGATTTTTGATAAAGCTTAATATTATCATCAAGACACATTTATTAAAAGTCTGAAAATAATAAATTATAAGATAATTTTGAAAAAAACCTTTTGAAAGTCGAAGTTTTTATAAGCCATTAACAGGATTTTGAACAATTCCTAATTTAATTTCTTGAATTTTTTATTTTTATATTTTTTTTAATTCTTTGGAAGTCTTGATAATATCTTTTATTAAGAGAATTGCATGTTTAATTATACAAATATTAGCTTAATTTCTAGGTTTGACATTTTCCAGTTATTGTACTAGTGTCTAGAGATGATTTATTGCATTAGCATGAGTTTGTGCTCATTGTTAGAAGGCTATCCAGGTTAGCCTTTAAGGTTATTCTAATAAAACTTCTTATTAATATCAATTTTCTATTTTTTAATCCTAATATTATTTCATTTACTGCTCTAGTTTATTATTTTGATACTTGGTTCTTGATTCTCTTTTTTCTTATATTAATGCTTTGACTTTTTTCTTATTCATATATTTTATTGCATCTTTCCTTTCAGATTGTTTCATATTATATTATATTTATAGCACTTGCTAGAAAATTTTTTGTTTTTTTTAATAAGTCTAATATGTTTTGTACTCTTTTGATTACTTTTTCTTTTAAAAGATTTCTGTTTTTTCTTCTCTTATTTGGGTTCAGATTGCTTCTTTTAGTTATATTTATATAATACTTCTTTTTATATCTTCTAATAATATATTTTATATTATTATTATTACTAGCATTTCTGACTTTAGTCAAAGGTTCTTATAAAAGAAACAACCTGCCAAGTGATCTTGATCTTATTTTTCTTTTTGGCACATAATGCAATCTGACTCTATATATAGATTTGAATATTTTGTTACTAGTTTTTTAAGTATTAACATTTTTTCTTATATATATTTAAAAAGTGTACTAAGTCTTGTACTTTCTATAGTTATAAAATATCTAATTTTATTTTAGTTCTTAATTTTTTTCTATAATAACATTTAGTAGTATTCTTTTTTTTTGTTTTAGTTTTAACTTTTGATTGCTAATAAAAAACTCTAATTTGCATTGTTTTTAATATTATAAATTTCTTTAACAAAGTTTTATACAGATTTTTTTACTATATATTTTTTTAAAGAAATAATATATTAGATTTTAAAATTGCTTTTATTATAATTTTATCTAAATCTTATAAATTTGTCTCTTCTTTTACTAAAATATCTGTTTTATTATTTATTTATTATTGTTATACCCTTTTAATTTTATTAACTATAATTCTATTTTTTTTTGTTTTTACTATTGTTATAGGTGAAAAATTTGTGATAGCTTATATGTTATGATACATTGCATAAACACTAATTAGGACTCAGGATCAAATATGCACAATTATTTTCACAATAGTAAAATGTGCATAATTATATTTCCCAATACTAAAAAAATCAATACAAGGTAAATATGTTCAAATTAGAAAAGGTATTATAATCATGATAACAATATTTCAGAGTGACAAAATCCAAATATTAAGAAGATAGGTTAGTAAAATGTATTGAAATAAAAGTTAAATACAGTATACTGAATATCTAGTAAGTAAAACCCATAATTGTATAGTGGCAGAATAGTGAAAAAATAAGAGAAAAACCTAAATTCAATAGAGAAATTGTTAGTAATAATGAAAATATAATAAGATACTTATCTTTTGACATCTTCAAATAATAAAAAAGAATCTTTGAGTAGTAATAGTTAATAGATTATAGCATAGTTAATTATATAGTGTAATAGATAAATAACAAGTCTGTTACTTCACTTAACAAGATATTGCATAATATTGTATTTCAAAATTATAAGGCTTCAAGGTATAGATTTGATTTGGATAAGTTTTTATTTATTAACTTTCTTTATTTTTCTTAAGTTTCACTATTTAATACCTAACTAGATGCTAAGAAAAGAAACAAAGTTAACACTTTTTTTAAAAGCTATTTTTTTATATAAATCAATTTAAAATAAGATTATAATTATTTTTTATTTAAAACTCAAAAGTAGTTATATTAATAAAATTTTGTAATATAGCTTATTAAAGTTTGCATTTTTTTATAATTTATTATAAGATTTATAATATAAAAATTAATTTTTTGAAAATCTTTTTTTTGTCAATTTTATCTATTTTTTAAGCACCTAGCCTATATTTTTTATATTTATAATTAGGTTGTAATTTTTCTTTTTTATACTTTTTCTGTTAGTTATACATTGACTGTTATTGCATATACTTGTTATAGCTGCTGTACTATCTATATATATCTTTATTTTACTTCTACTTAATATTATAAAAATTATATACTAAATAGCTAATAGTTCTATTTTAATTAAAGAAAACTATTTTCTTGCTTTAATAGCATTATTATTAATTATATATTCTCTTTATTATCTATTTACAACTAGCTAGTTTCTATTTGATCTAGGCTTTGATCTTTTTTCTTTGTTTTTACTAATAATCTATCTCAGTTTCTTTTACTTATTGTTTTCTTGAATATATTTATATTTCTTAATAAGTAAATCAAAAGCTTGTTAATAATTTTTTGTCTTGTAATTATCTTAATGTCTCTGTTTTCTATTTTAATTTTTTTAAATATTTTATTATATTTAAAGCTTTGTATTTCTTTTTTTATCTGTAATTTCTAGCATATTTATGTTAATTTTTAATTACTAGATCACTAAAATTAACTTTTTTCTAACAAAAATTCAACTTTTCTCAATATTTTACTAAACTAATAGCTCTTAATATTTTAATTAAATCATTTTTTACAACTTTCTGTTCTAAAAATAATATAAATTTATTTATACTTAATTATTTGATACAACAAACTTTTATATTTTAATAAAATTATTTTTATTTATATTTTTTTTAAATTTCATCAATTTATATTTAATTAAACTCTTTTATTTTTAAGTAAACTAATTATACTAAACTTTTTGCTTTCAATTATACTAATTTACCAAATTTTAACTATTATATTATATACCAACTAACATTTTCTAAATAAATACACTTTTTTAATTTTTATCAAATTTTACTAAACAACCTTATTCTCTCTTATTAAACAAAAATATACAGCTTATTGAAATGATTATTTCAACATAAATTTCATCTTTAATAAACCAAAACTCATTAAGATATCAATATTTTTTTTCAAACTTTTATTCAAACTTCTTTCTAAAATTCTATTGATCAATTTTTAAAATTTATAAGAGTATTCTAGAAATTTTACTTATTACTAATCTTGAAAATATCCAAATACCCAATATTTCTTTAAATTCTTTCAAAGAAATTTAGAAAATTTACTGGTTCTCTGAAAAATTTATTACTAATTTAGAAAGACTCAATTTTCTTGTCTAATTCTTATCTTTTTTATCTGCTCTTTTTTGTTATTTATATTATAAAACACTTTATTTATACTATAAAAACTTAAAAAATAGGTGTGGGTCTCATAGCTTAGCAGTTAAGCTCCCATATTCTCTACAGTTAAGATCAATGGTTCAAGTCTGACTAGAGGCAAAATTGAAAAATTTTAGCTTTTGTAACCTAATAAGAAGCCTATAATTGAATGCAAAGCCCTGTGGTTAAGTCCTAGTGCAGTACAATTATGGAAATAGGAATTCCTGGAAGGAGACCCAATCATGGAGTGCAGGCACTATGTGTAATAAGCAGTTGTTATAGAAGGTTACAGTTATAGAAAGATTGTGCATATAAGTTCTTTAGGCTGGAGCAGCACTAACATCATTATATCTTCTAATATAGACAGTACCAACATTCTTGTATCTAACTTGTGGAGTACTTGCTTGGAAGAATAATCAACAGATTATACAAATCTTAATTAGGATTCAAGAAGAAGATTTGATTGGAAGAGTATTCTAAAAGTAACCAAGACTGAAATGATAAGAGAAGAGATGAACATGAAGACAGACTGTGATAAAGAATTGGTCTAACCAAAATTAAAAACATCTCTGACACAGCCAAATAAACTAATTATAGAAGAGAAAAATCTTGGAGGTTGGCATATAACTTTCTTGTGCAATGTAAAAGTACCAAATCAGGTTTTGATCATACCTATATGGAAGTCTATGACAAACAAGACTAGAATCAACCAACCAATATGAGATAAAATCTGCAAGGTAGTATAGCATCATTGGGGTCAATGTAACTCCCTAGGGCATAACCAGAATTGTTCTGCAGATATTATCAAATAAGCTAGGAGCTTGCAATATATAGTAGTATGGTATCACTAGGGTCAGAAAAACTCTCTAGGAATAACCAGAGTTGTTCTGTTTATAAGCACAACAAGTCTTAGTCCTTATCATAGAAAGGAGCATCATGTTGAAAGTTAAATGCAGCATCGAGTTATTGTATAATATTAAGACCTGGGGCATCTGCAGAAATAGCTGCAGCAGATTTGGCTTAAGATACAGATTGATCAAAAAGACCAATAGTGGCAGCAGATCTGGCTTGAAATATGGGTTCTTTG